TGACTACAGAACCAATTTTGGGCATAGATTGCTTGTGGGAGGGAGGAATAGTGGTTAATTGTGCTAACAAAGGTTTATGGAGGACCCAAAGAAAGACTGGACCTCTGAAGTAAGGCAGGAAGATACCGGATTGCTGACATGTAGTATGCTGGGGGTGGCGGTAGTGACCGGGATAGCAGGGAGGAGTGGAGGAAGCACCTTCCCCAGGCATGGGCAGCCCACAAGCTGGACTGCGGTAAATGGACTGGGGATCCAGTGAAAATAGAAGGACCAGTGGTCCTCCCACAGAAACAATATCCTATCCCCACTGCAGCATGCCAGGCTGTAGCAGAGATAGTCAGGGAGCTGGAAGGACAGAGAGGAGTAGTAAAAAAAAAAAAAAAAAAAAAAGACTTTCCCCTTTAACTCCCCAATATGGCCTGTGAGGAAAGCTGATGGTGTCTCATGGAGACTGACTGTCGACTATCGAAAAGTCAATGCGATAACGCCACAGTGGGCGCCCATAGTCGCGGACATGACCCAGGTGTTACAAGACATACCAAGGGAAGCTAAAAAATTTTCTGTATTGGATTTGTCTGTTTCTTTGCTATCCCACTTGAGGAAAAAATCACAGGACCAATTCACATTCCATGTGGACAGGGTACAGTATTGCTTTACTCGTGTATCCCAGGGATTTCATAGCGCCCCCGCTATTGCGCATAAGGTAGTGACCCAAATGTTAGAGCATCTCCCTTCAGGGAATAAGGGGTGGGTGGTCTCATATGTTGATAATATCCTGGTAATGGGAAGTGGATCCATTGGGGACAGCTCAGGCATGTAGGGGGAACTACCCGGCTCCATGTTCCTCTCTATGATAGCCTACGGTTTACAATGTTTAAGTCTTTTTCGCAGCTTCTGTTTTTCAGAGCACCAGAAAGGGCTGGTACCAGCTACAGAACAACTGAAACATACCATGGTGCACTGTCACGACAAAACTTCTATGTTGTCTCATGTTGTGTGTTTCTTGTTTGTCTTGTAGCACTTGTCTCATTGCTAGCATTACGGTGTTTGGGAAAAGGGAAGATACCGCATTAGGCAGGGAACAGCAACAAATCATTCTCACAAGCCCTCTTTAACTCCAACTAGAACCCTCCCTCTCCTTATCCCTCTGTCTCCTGCCAAATTGTCAGTCACATACCTATCCCCATGGTGGCCACCTCCGTCCAAAAGCTTTCCCACCAAATGTTCTGATTTTCATCTAAATGTTGTACATGAGAAGGGCTGTTTGACACTCATTGTTACATCCTCCGATCAATATTTTGATATGTATTTCTGTTACTGTGGACATGCTATGTGTAATAAAAATCTGGAATTGTTCCGGCAGTTGAAGCACTGGCATGGATGAGCGGAGGCACGCCGTCCCCCTTTGGATGGTCACCACAATTTGGGGTGACCAAGGGGCGGGAAATGTTATGTAAAGCCTCTGCTCAAATGCAATTGTAAGATCTGTAACTTGTATCATTAAGTTCTGCAACCTTTTTGCAGACTTTGTAACTTCAGTGATTGTTAGCATAGCAGTATGAATGCAGTGAATGTGTGCGTATATGAATAAGCTCCATCTCTTTTCTATGTGACCCAACAGTGGCATCGTAATAAAACTAATACAAGTGGGACCCTGGGTTGGTTTTTAGGGGAACAGAGGTAACACGGTTGTATGGCAGCAACCTTAATACCAATGTAACAAAGATGGTTGTAAGTGATGCAGATCTGCAGGGATGCAGATGAAGCAAGTACGGCAATTTATTTTAAAGAAACTAAATAAGCCGTTTAAAGTGTGCTGTATCAGAAACCTGACTTTTAAAATTAGGTAGACAAAAAAAAAAAAAAAAAATCCAAGTTGACAGAGCCCCTTTAACATCCTTCAAAACATACTTACCACCCTCCACACAGTTGCTTTTATTCTCCCCCCACCCCCACCAAACTACTAATGCCTTGACTCATTTTCCTTGACACTCCAAGTCATTCTTTTCATTCTGTAAAAGAAAAAAAAATTCACCAAATGTCAAAGTTCACAAATGTGTTTTATTTGTATTGCACTTGTGAATATTACACACAGCTCCCTTCTGAATGGTGGCCAAAGACACAGGCCCACCTTTGTAAGCGTACAGATCTATTGTACAGAGTATAAATATGTAACTGCATTGCAGAAGTTGTATCTTTCCAGCAAAAGCACTTATAAACACTAGCAATTAACGTAGGGATACAGCTTGCATTATGCTTTGAGATTTCAGTACAGTTATGGGCTAGTATTGACTCTTCTTAACCAGTGACGACTCCTTTCTGGGCTCTAATTTTGACCGAGTCTGATCTGCTTTAAAGTGGGCTTCCTTAACTACTTTTTAAATGTTTTGATATTAATTTTTAAATTTAAAATTAAAAAACAAATGAAAAAGAAAGGGAATAAGATCAGGCTCAATCTCAATGTCTAATGTGCAGTTTGGTTTTTTTAACCAGGTAACCAGTTCAGGGCCCTCCTGAAAGGTGCTGAGACGTCAAAGGGAGTTGAAGGCATTTAGCAGCTTGTAGGACTGGCCTAAAAAATCCATTCATAGCATATTTGATGATGAGGATGCAGTGCACGTCTGATACAAGATTTAAACGGGCAGCTCAGAAAAAAGGATCTATTAGGAATCATAGAATGAGGAGGCCAATTCATCCATAGACTATAATGTAAATAAACAATTTCACTGGGGATTATAACACTCCATTTGTTAAACAAGCAGTGTTAGTGACACCGTGTAGAGCAGCACATGGTCAGTGGTGAATGGCACTCAGCCCTTGTAGGCTCAGGCCTGTTTGGTTTCTTCCTAGTGGAACCATAGACACCAGAAGACAATGCACAGGATACATTACTATACAAATAACACTGAAAACAGGCTGAAATGATGGGACCTGGGCTAAGCCCAGTTATTTCTCCTAAATCCTTTGAGCCAGTGCATCTGTGAGACTTCTGGATAGGTCTGAGAGTTGACCAGTCAAATTTGCCTGACAGTTATTTTTGAGAATTTTTTTTTCAGGGGCAGATATGACATCCGCAAAGATACAGATGCTCACTGGTTCAGAATGAGGCCTCAGAACACCTCTGTCTACATTCTTCTGACCAATCCTGTTGGATCTCCTGTTCATACTTCTATGTTAAAGGTTGGCATCTTAGTTAACACTTCAGTACCAATATATGCTGCAATATCCTTAAAGAGAGGTTTGTCTGCTATAAGCAACTACACTTCTGTCTCCAAATGGTTAGCAACTACCACTCAAGAGAACTATACTGGAGATGACAGGAACATGTTTCTGTTTTTTCAGTCTACATTTGGCAGCACTGTGTGTGCCGTCTGCGCCAGCATTCCTCCTCTTGCTAGGTGGGTCTTTCACATGTTAACACGGGAGAGAAACATTTTTTTTTCAAAATAGGACATTATCAAACCAGGGAAGCTGGCAGAGGGACTGCAGAGGAGATGTAGCTGCTGGAACTACTTTTAACCAGTTTTTGAAACTGGCTAGATTTCAACATTGATGTTATTTCTTTAAAGGTGACTATAAAATTGAGCTTGCAAAATTCCCTCACCTGTACCAAAACAATAGAAACTTATTTATAGTGCATCTCTGCACTCGAAGTGCTAGAGTGGGGAATTAGCCTTGACATGGTGGCAGTGGTCATAGGTGCTGACTCCGTGGGTGCTCCGGGGCTGGAGCACCCACGAGGAAAAATTGGTGGGTGCTCAGCACCCACCGGCAGCTCCCTGCCCCAGCTCACCTCCACCTCCACTCCACCTCCTCCCCTGAGTGCGCCGGGTGCCCACTTTCCCCCCTAGCTCCCAGCGCTTGCACCGCGAAACAGCTTTTTCACACGGCTGAGAGGGAGCGGGGAGGAGGAGGAATTAGGCGCGCTCGGGGAAGAGGCGGGGATTTGAGGAAGTGGTCCAATAGGGGCAGGGAGGAGGCGGAGTTGGGACAGGGCCTTTGGGGAAGGAGTTGGAATGGGGGCGGGGCCAAAGGTGAGGGGGCGCGAGCACCCACCGGCACCGGGATAAGGTGGCACCTATGGCAGTGGTGGGATCATTTTGAACCAGAGGCAGAGACCTCAGCATTTTAAAAGGACATTTTTTTCCTTTTGGCAGCCTGCAGAGTTAGGGAGGTTCTTTTCTTTTCTTTTCTGCCTGAGGGGGAACAGGTACGCAAAAGGTTCAGCCTGCAAAGCAAGGGAGTCCAACAAGCAGTTTATTTTTTTTTCTAGTTTAGTAGCAACAAAATAGCTATGCTAGAGTAGGGCAGCCCTGTGCATGAGGTTGCGGTCGGACACCTAAACCCTAGAGCAACCAGTCTTAAAGTGGCACGCCACGGAGCAGACCCAGATCAAGCCCAGACATCCAGCTCCATGACAGAAATGCAGGGAGGGGATGGGGGACCGGATATTTCCCTGGAGGGAATGGTCAGCCCTCCCCAACCTGAGATCCAGGTGCCAAGATGGAGGGATGCCCTTAACCCAGACCGAGTTCTAACTGCAGAAGACAGGAATTTCTTCCTACAGATGAAGCGCTTGGAGGCGAAAATGGAGGCGAAGTGCTTAGAAACGGAGACAGAACTGAAGCGCTTAGAACTGGAAAGGGCTAAGCTGGGTCAGCTCTAACAGTCGTCCTCCAGGTATCGCTCCCCATTCCAAGAAATTCCCCCCATACAACGTAGGCAATGATACAGAAGCCTTCTTAGAAAATTTTGAAAGGGCCTGCCTTGGGTACGACACCCCTACAGATCAGGATATGGTGGAGCTGAGGCCAAAACTCAGGGGACCCTTAGCAGAGGTGGCAGCTGAAATGCCTAAAGAACACATGAATGAGTATGAACTTTTTTAAACAAAAGGCCAGAATTAGGATGGGGCTAACACCCGAGCATGCCCGTCAGCAGTTCAGAGCCCTAAGGTGGAAACCAGACATGGCATTTTCCTGACACGCCTACCACAAAGTAAAAAACGGGGATGCCTGGATATCAGGAGCAAATGTTAAGTCCCTGGAAGATCGGTCTCTCCTAATACAAATGGAGCAATTCTTAGAGAGCGTTCCTGAAGAAATAGAAAAGTACAGCCTAGATGGGAAACCCCAAACTGTAATCGAAGCGGGGGAGATTGGAGCCAAATGGGTGGAGGTGGCGGAGAAGAAGAAAGGTAGTAGCAGTTGGTGGGGATACCGGAATGGGCAACCCGAAACGACACCCACCATCGGAGTCAGCCCAAGGCCCCACCTCACAAGGAGGAGCCCTCCACACAGCCAGGGAGACCCCTGATGTCTGCTCGTCCCACCACCCTACTGTCCAACCACACACCTCGCCCCAGCCCACAGTCAGCTGGGCGATGCTTTAAATGTAATGAGCTGAGGCATGTGAAGGCCAATTGCCCCAAGAGCACCAGCTGATTGCAACTCATCACCCCGGGATCCCACCGAGAGCCGTCAGGCCCCGATGCCTCACAAATATCCCCAGAGCGAAGGGAAACAGTGTGGGCAGGAGGAAGATTACTGCGTGGAGAGACACTGGAGCACAGATGTCAGCTAGCCACCAATCCCTGGTGGACCCCAAATTCATCGACCCAGAGGCCCAAGTGACAGTGCAACCCTTTAAGGCCAACTCTTAACTTGCCTACAGCCAAGTTGCCTGTCCAGTACAAGGTCTGGTCAGGAATATGGACTTTTGCAGTCTATGATGATTATCCCATCCTATGCTACTGGGAGAAGACTTAGCCAACCATGTGAGGCTAACAAAAAGGGTGGGGATGGTCACCCGCAGCCGGGCTAAACAGGCCTCCACACCTAACTCCATTCCTGAGCCTCCTACAAGGACCCAGTCTATGACCCCTGGGGACCCAGCAAGAGGTGTGGAACCAGACCCCAGACCAGAGTCTATGGCAACGGCTGTAGATCCAGTTCCTGGGACCCAGCCAGAACCAGCCCAAGGATCGGGACTGGCAGAGCAGTCGGCACCAGGCCCGTGCTTGCAACTCCACCAGAGGCAGGGGAGCCAGCACCAAAGGGTGCCACAGAGCCTGCACCTGCAGCAGCAGCTAAACCGGCGCAAGCAGCTCAACTGGAGCCTGAAATACAACCTAGAGCACCCCCAGAGAGCGGTTCACATCGACAGAGACACCCCCATCACCTGCATCACTTCCACTGGGACTAAGCCCAAGTTCACAACCCAGCGAGGAACTAATGTCTCCCGCATCCAGGGAGCAGTTCCAGGCAGAGCAGGTGTACTGTAGGAAATCTCCTGTATGATGGCTGTATTGAGATATGGAAGTAGACATCTTGTAGGTCTAGGGCTGAAAATCAATCTCCTTGCTCTAGAGCTGGAATAATGGCTGCTAGCGTGACCATCTTGAACGTCTGCGCCTTCCCGTATTTCTTTAGTGCCCACAGAACTAGAATGGGCCTCCAACCTCCCTTCACTTTGGGGATCAGGAAATAACAGGAGTAAAACCCCTTGATCCTGAGTTCCACCGAGACTGGTTCTGTGGCCTCTAGGCATAACAAATGATATATTTCCTGATGAAGTAGGTTCTCGTGAGAAGGGACCCTGAATGGGAACGGGGAAGGAGGGTTGGAATGAGGGGGGGGGGGTGGAGAACGACATGAATCGAATGGCGTAACTCTTCCAAATAAACTCCAGGACCCATCTGTCAGAAGTGATATTCTCCCAACTGCTGTGACAAAGGGCCAGGCAATTTCTGAAGGGGCGTGACAGGTGTGTAGACGGCAGCTGTTGTTGCAAGGTATAATTGTTCAGGCACTTGACCAGCCCGTCTAAAGTGCTTAAGGAGGCAGGTTGAGAGGTCATGGATTGGGGTGCGAACTGCTTCTGTTTTTGAGCCCTGGTCCTATTACGCTGCAGCTCCTAACAGCGCTGAGATGGTGAATATTGAGGAGCTTGTGACCTGGGCTGTGGCTGAGAGGTACATCTTCTCTTCTGTCTCGCAGTGCAGATTCCTAGGGAGTGTAATGTGCCCCGGGAATCCCTCAGGATGTGGAGAGAAGAATCTGTCTTCTCCACGAAGAGTTTGGGCCCTTCAAACTGGAAGTCTTCTGCAGCTCTTTGGGCAACCCAGAAAAGTGTTGCCAAGAAGCCCTCCTCAGTACCACTGTCATAGAGAGTGGGCAGGCCACTGTATCAGCTACATCCAGTGCTGTCTCTAGCACCAGTCTGGCAATTAACTGACCCTCTCTAAGAATGGTCTGAAACTGCTCCTTTTGTGTCCAGTAAATGTTCCAGAAATGCATTGAGTTTCCCATAATTAATAAAATTGTATTTGGCCATAACAGTTTGGCAATTCGTGACTCTAAATGGTAATGTTGCCGACAAATATGCCATCCTGACAAGCACGATGGTATGGGGTCGACTTGGCATTATGTTGCTTGCTTTGTGCATTAACCACATCCACTATGATGGAGTTTTGTTGCACCTGGTACTAAGTTTTCTCTGTGCCGCTCTTTTAGAGATGGTACGGTAGTTGTCTGTCTCCTTAGGGGGCAGTACCCGTTGCCTCAGAGCCTGACTGCCAGAGCCCCTGGCTTCTCCAGGTGGTGTAGCCATGCGGCAGAGAGCAGAGCTCATAGCAAGGCCCCCTTCTGGGTACCATGCTTCAGAGCTGCTGGTGCCCTTGGTACGGAGGTGGCTGCATGAGGGAACCCCTCTGGCTGGCCAACGACTCGGAGCCCTTTTTATGAACCTTTACAGGGGGAGTCTGCTGGTTTTTTTCACAACTCTACCCCCTTTGAAGTTAAGGCTCTGGGGATGATCAGGGGTCAAATAAAACAACTATGACTTATGCTAATGATGCAGATAAGGAAGGGACCACTGCTCACTCCCTTTGAGGCCAAAGGCGGTTGAGAAGGAAGTGTGTGTGTGGGGGGTGGGGAGGGGTGTTCGCCCATGCAATGCTAGATAGCCTTGAGGCAGACCACAAGGGAGGGAGAGCACAGGCACGGGCTCAAGGGACACTGCTACCAAAAATCTCCGACTAGAGTCGCAGGGGTGCACATACTCCTACAGTGGAGCACCCGTAGGGCACTACTCGAAGAAGAAATGATTGTCTCTTGCCCTCTCTACAAAATAATTTTTTCCTGCTTATTTTTTGCCTTAGAAATTTCAGAAATGTCAAGTCTGCTCTTTCTTGGTTTTCCTGGAGATCTCAGAAATGTAGCTTGTGAGCTCTTAACCCTTAAATGAAGGAGCTTGTGTGCGGAATCTAACAGAGTTTTTTCCCCAAGGGTTTCTCACATGTTTATGTTAAACAGATGTTAACAAAAACAAACAAAACCACAAGAAGAATAATACCACCTTACCCTCCCAGTCTGCTTTCACTTGCCAGGTAAGCGCAGTATCATAATCTTATCAGTTCTCCGGTGACCTAACGTGTCTTCCAAGAAAAAAACATAAGACCTGAATTTCTAGGGAGGAATTTTCAAACATGCTCAACACTGCTGCATGTAACTCTCTTTATAATTCCACTCCAATGTAAACAATCAGAAAAAAATGTTACGCAAGCAACAAAACATCTGGAAAAACCTTTCAGGCTATCTTGCATATCATAAAAGAATTAAACAGGGCACAAACTCAATCTTTTTTCCTCTGTCGGTCACATTTAATACAGCACAGCACCACGACCAAAAGACTATGGGCATATACCACTCATATACCTCTACCTCAATATAACACTGTCCTCGGGAGCCAAAAAATCTTACTGTATTATAGGTGAAACCGTGTTATATCGAACTTGCTTTGATCCACTGGAGTGCACAGCCCCACCCTCCAGGAGCACTGCTTTACCGCGTTATATCGGGTCACGTTATACCGAGGTAGAGGTGTACATGTTTTCTATTGCATTTTCAGGTCTAGAAAAAGAAAAAAAAAGGTCCAATAAACCATAACTCTCTACTGATACTTTGGAAGTGTTTTGAGCTAAATTCTTCATTTGAAAAATAAATTTCCAAGTTTGGAACCAGCTGCCCTTTCTGGCTACCTCAGCAGGCTGACTGCAATACAACGTATAGCGCAATGTCAGTCTGCAGACCAGGCAGCTACCAGAGTAGGAGTTAACATAAAGGAAGGAAGTAATTTCACAAGGATTGAGATTTTGCAAACTGTTAACACAGAGGACTATGGATAGCAGCAAGTACAGATTTCACTATATTTTATAGGAGAATTGTAATATGTTGAATATTTTGCAAATCTGTGCAACAATACTATAAAATGAAACCATTTAATTAACCCTGTGCTCCAGAGGGTCTTCCTTGCTTGATATCACATCACCCACACAGTATATATGCTGGGATGGCAAACTGAACCAGGAATTGGCAATACAAGCACAGCTGGATATTGTGGGAATGTCCTCATGGCCTGCGCATGGGGGAAATCTCATAGATATTGATACAACTGAGAGAACTGTCAAAGCAATTTGCAGGTCTCATTTAAGCAACAATGAAAGAGGATACTGTATAACTCTTACCTTTCAACATCATGCTTTAGAGATTCTGATCTCAGTTAGACTGGGGCAACCGAGATCATAACAATCATTGTCTCAATGTTACACTCTGCTCCCTCTCCGTGTTTGTTGTATCTACCTATTGTCTCATCATATACTTAGACTGTAAGCTCTTCAGGGCAGGGACCATCTCCTCCTATGTTTGTACAGCGCCTGGCACAATAGGGCCCTGATTGATGTCTGGGGCCTTTAGCTGCTCTCACAACACAAATAAATAAATAAATGAATGAAAACAACAGTGTAATCTGGAGTGACTCTACTGATAACAGAAATACTCCTGATTTGTTCTAGGCAGTTGAAACTAGAATTAATTGCTATATTGCTTTCTTTCTTTCAACCAGCCCGCACAGATGACAATCTGTCTCAGTCAAGATAACAGTGAGTTACTGTTTAAACCATTGTAAACTTAACATAAGGTTCTTATTTCAATTGTGCAATGCTAAAAACAAGATGGAAAATTTGCTTGGCAAATGAATAACCATGTTGAAGCAGGGAGGAATATTCCTTACAAATAATGTATCACATAACCCCCCAGGAACATACTGTAGATACAGGATTTGTTTGCAGTGGTTAGATTGTGCCCCAGCTCCACGTGAGGAGGAGAAGGAGAGAAATGGAGCCACAAGTGGATCCGGAAGCCTGCTGTTCCATTCTTGCAAAGGAAGAAATCCAATTTCAACAGCACTCTGAGCACTGTGCATTTTCTTTAAACAATACCACTCTGTCTATTTGTACCCATGATGAGTGCATTTAAGGCTGACTCCGTTTCCTTACTTCCTTTCAAATGTTCCTGCATGGAAGCTAACATGGTAGCAGAGCACTTGGTTAGTAAGGGTAGGTCTACACTTACCCGGTAGTTCGGCAGCGAGCGATCGAACTTCTGGGTTCGACTTATCGCGTCTTGTCTGGACGCAATAAGTCGAACCCGGAAGTGCTCGCCGTCGACTGCGGTACTCCAGCTAGACGAGAGGAGTACCGCGGAGTCGACGGGGGAGCCTGCCTCCGCGTGTGGACCGAGGTAAGTTCAAACTAAGGTACTTCGAACTTCAGCTACGTTATTCGCGTAGCTGAAGTTGCGTACCTTAGTTCGAATTAGGGGGTTAGTGTAGACCTGGCCTAAGAAGAAGCTCTATGAAGGTCAACTGGATACAAGCTGGTGACTCAGAAAAGCACTGAAATACATGTAATGTCCCCCCCCCCCCTTTTTTTTTTTTTAAAGTACTATGGTATTGTACAGTAATGACCCAGAGTACTTCCCCATACAGTAGGGACACTGTAGTGCTTTGGGCCGTAGAATAATCTATGTAGATTTGTATGGGATGGTGTAAGAAATGGGGAAACAAGACAGTAGTTCAACATCTCCATCATTACCTTGTTATTTTAACACTTTCTAAATCCATTCATAAAATAACAGGATTTATCAAATGTAATGTAGAAGTGCTGCATAAATACAAATATTGATACCTTGAACATTACATAAATCCTACTTTACTTAAAAAAAATCCAGATCATGTCTTTCCCTTTCTTTCTTTTTAATGTTCTTTAAAAAAGTGTGTGTATGTATATATAGAGATATATATATAGATATATTTATTTTTATCATAATGTCAAAATTTATACGAGTTGCATCTCTTCTGTTATGCTTTCTGCAGACAAGGTCTGAAATGATGTTAGCAAGAAATAAAACAATGGCTTCCTCTTAAAAACCTGGTAATACAGGAAATTCAAAGGAGTTTGTTTTCTTTTTTCAGATTTCAACACTGATTTTTAAAAAAAAAATTATAATAATCCTTCATAAACCAGGGTCCACAGATAGTATAGGGCAGCCTTTACAAGCAAATCTACACAATCTGACATGCTTTTATGAGGCAGTTAGTACTTGTATCAAAATTCAACAGTGTTTCTACAGAATCATCCGACTTCCTGCGATGCAGAGATACGTTAATTTCAGTTCCAAGAATTCTAGTTTTTTTTTTTTTTTTACAAATGGTCTCATCAAATCCCCAGGATTCATTTCACAAACCTGCTGTTCAATTGCTGATGCTGCTAACCACACAGTTGATTAAGATGTGCACACAATCTGGTGACATCACAAGGAAGATCAAAAAATAGGAAAAATTCCCTCCCTCCAATCTTTAAATAGTCTTTTTATCTCTCTATCTGTATGTATATATATGTGCATGATTCTTTTTGCCTAGTGCGATCATATAATGAACAAATTTTGTGCTGGTTAAGGGTCTTCTTCCATCAATGGAATTTCTAGGGAAAAAAAAAAAAGAATTATTGGCTTTAGCCTATAGACTATTTGGGTCAAGGGGACCTGTCATTTATTTCCCTGCAGAGTGCCATCTCACACCTACCAGTTGGTGATATACAAATAGTGTATGATGAAAAGTTGTACTTGTGAGCAAAACATTCCCAGTCTAGTTCCTCCTCAAGACCCGCTTCTGTTGTGATGCCTGGAATTAGTCAACTAAAACCTCCATTCACTTCAAAATAAACAAGGAAAAACTCTCCAAGGAGTGGCTTTGTTGCCACTGTGTGACTTTGAGGTGAAGATTCCTCCCTGTTCCATTCCTGGAGAACCAACCCCCCTTGCCACCTGGCTAGGGCTTAGCCTGGTCGGATAGGGGAGATGAGACCCTAAAAGCACTGAAGAATTTGTTTTGAAGAAAGCATAAAGAATAACATGTATGCTGCAAATAATTCCTGCTTAATTCCTGCTCTGAAGCACAAGCACATGGATTATATTTATTGACCATTACCTTTGACACACATCCCATGTAACATAGCCAAGAAAAACTTACCATCTGCAATATCGATACTTGGGCTTGTGGATGCAGCCTCCCCAGTGGTGCTATTGATCACCTCAGTTCTATCTGAAATAGGATGCACGCCCATTTGGCACACAGAGGATGAATATAAACTTTGGAGAAGTTCGGAGGAGCCTGATATGCTATCACAGCTCTCAAATTCAGCAGGTAATGTGTCTGTGTCTCCTGGGCCGGGATAAGCTGGAGGGTTCTGATCATCTGTCTGCAAAACATGCCCCTGGCCTGCAGGAGATGAGTATCCCGGTGCCAAGGCATTCAAACCACTGCTCACAGCTTCATCATAGGAAGGCAGCATGACAGGAACACCATCCACTACCACGAAGTCGGGGTTGCTGGTGGAACTCTCCTGGGCACCTCTACATCAAACAAAGACAGATTATCATGGAGTCTTTGAACATTTCAATAACACTTCAAGATGTAACATTTTCTAATCACATGAAATGGAGCTATACAAGGTCGTTAACATTCACGGGGATATCCACTTCACAGATCTGCAAAAATCAGCTCAGACTGATAGGTGTGTGCAATTTGTTATGATGAGATAAACAAAGCCAATAACTGAGGCATCGTTTAGAGAAGGAAAGGAAAACAGGTCTGAGGCAGAGATAAGGAGCATTCTCTGTTGTCCCATGCACAGTAAATATCAGGGATATAGAATCATATAGAATCGGGGTGAATCACTAAATGTGTGAATCCTTGAAGAGATCAGCACTGGAGCTAAAGGGGTAGGGTACTTGCAGCACATGCAAAACTATACTGAGCTGATAATTGCTGGATGATGCAAGCTTTGGGGTTGAGATTTTGAGCTCACTTCACCCTTAGTTTGGAAGGATGCATGTTCTCTCCCCTCCCTCCTCCCCCACTACTAAAAGGATATTTTTCAAGCAAACCACTTTTTTCAGGCTATAAAATTTTGTATCTGTTAATCTCAAAAATGTCAATTAGATTACAATGGAGTCCCACCAGGATCCCATGTGTTTTTAGGATATGGGAACATCTGAAAGAGGAAGAGGAAGACAGAAACATATTTCAGCAAGTCAGAGGAACACAGGCCAGGACACCTGTCACTGGAGCTGCCTCTTAAATCTAGAGGCCTTTTCACTTGCGTATATCTAATGTAAGTGAACTAGTCCATCACCTACACTGGCACAGGGACAGACTAGTTGACCTAATATATCATTCCCATCGCTCATTCCTACAAATGATGTAAAGAAGAAACACACACAGAGAAAGACAGACAGACAGACATCTAGCAGTCTAAGCACAGGCCTGAGCCCAGAAATAGGACTGAACTAAGCTATGACACCAACTCACTTATGTAGCCCTGTCTAGTCACAAACCTTTGTTTTCCCAATTGTAAATTCATAGATTCAAGGACTGGAAGGGACCTCGAGAGGTCATCGAGTCCAGTCCCCTGCCCGCATGGCAGGACCAAATACTGTCTAGACCATCCCTGATAGACATTTCTCTAACCTACTCAAATATCTCCAGAGATGGAGAT